TGTAAAGTTTTAAGCGAATCTAATCGACTGTAATTTTTATTTTATTTTTTCGTTGTTTATGACGCGATATTGAGCCCGCCATTTTCAGGGTTTCCAATCTGACGTCAGATTCATAATCAGCGACCACAAAAACTCCCGAGAAAAACGTTTCAAGCGAATCAAATCGATTTTAATTTTTTTGCCCGCCATATTGTATTTTTAAAATCAGGCTACAGATTCGTCATCAGAAAAAGCAATCATACATATTTTTGTCGATTTTAACTGATATAAAAATGTTTAAAAACAGATCAATATCGATATATTTAACGAAATTTATCGATAATTTGATGGATGTTGTTATAGGTGCAATTATTATTATTATTAACTTGTGAAAATCATTATCGATAACTTGATTGGTGTTATTGGTGGAAAATTTACTGAATAAATATTTTAAAATATCGATATCGACATATTTATCTGTACCGCTGCTAATATTGACATGTATCGTTATCGATAAATTTTTTATTTTATATGCCATGTGTACTATATAAATTTTTTGATTGCAACTATCGAGTTATTTTTAACCTGTTGAAATCTGTATCGATCATTTTATTGATGTTGTTATTGTTGCAATGTTTATCGATATTAGTTACACGCATTTGAATTCAGTTTTTTCATTGGATGCAAAGAAACTGTGCCATTAGTCAGTTAATATCTGCGTAATAGCGTATTTCTACTGGAACTTAATTGGAGTTTCATTAAATAACTTTTTAAAATGCCGCTTTCACCAGCCATTTAAGGGAACAATTTTTTTTTTTTTAATTCTGTCAGTTTCCATATTAAATTCAAATGAAAAAGTAATTTTTCACTTAAATTGCTTTCGTGATACTGGCTATTAACATATTATTGTTACTATTAGCACTTTTTTAATTATGTTATGACAAAATTACGAAAAATTGTCTATCTTTAAACAAATTGCATGTGGAAACAGACTTAATTACTTGTATTTTCAATTACTTGGAATTTTTTTAATATTTAATACTCAGTGCAAATCCGATGTTATGTTAAGTTTTCATTATGCATTTCAATTTTCAACATAACGTAGTTTTTTTATTTTTAACGTAATAAAACGCATAATATTTAATGCCGGACTTTGACACGCAAATTTTTATAATCGGATTGTCTAGTGGAAATGCGCTATTCGTCTTATGGCGTAAAAGTTAGCGCAGTTTAAAAATATTTTATATGGAAACAGATCTAACGACAAATATAATAAACGTAGTGGCATTAAAAAGCAGCAATAATAATTATTTAAAAGAAAATTTTGTCATTACACTTTTTTTAATTTATTGCCCAGTGGAAATCCAGCATTATATTTTGTACATATCGTTTTTGCTAAAAAATGTTTGTGTTCCATGTTTCATGTAAATAGATCTTTCTCATGCCGTAAACTTAAAATGATTATCCTAGCAACCTTGGGAAAAGTTAAATTTTCAATTTATGTTAGCATAATGTCGAAGTTGTACTAGTCATTGAGATTACGAAATAATTAGTCTTTTAAAATATGCAAAGTAGAAAGAAACTCAATCACTATTTTTATTAGGGTACTGTCAAAAGTAGTACTTATTTAGTGCCTAAATTTGTCATCAAATTTTTTGCTATTTAATGGCCAGTGAATATCCGACATAAGCAGCGACTAATACTTTTCATACATGCAAATATTTCTGCTTTGAAATTAATGATTTTTTTCTTCTGGGTTTTTATTTTATTTTAAGGTTATTCATTGAAGCAATCACTTGGTTTAATGATATACGGTTCATTATCTGAGCAAACACTTTTTTATTGCTTTGAAGCATTTGCAAGTTCGCGCCAAAAAAGTTTTAAGAAAACGCATTACAGTCACAAATTTATAAGAGATATTTAAAAAAAAAAACAATACTCACGCATGAAACTGGTTCAAACCACTTTAGTTGCTGCTGTTGCTGTAAGATTCTTTGTAAATTTTTCATCGAGCCACACCTATAAAGAGATATAAAAAACGTATTTTTAAAGCTTAATATGCACATTGACGATTTTCTTCAACAAATATTTATTCACAAAAATGCCTACATTTTCATCTTTTCTTATCTTTGCAGTTCTTGAACATAAAAAGCTAAGGACTCAATGCACCTATCGGCAACCAATGCCAGCGTAAATTTGCGCTCAAAAGCTCCACAGCAAGCGCCGTTAATCAACTTTGCAAATATATAAATTTTATTTAAAGCCAGGTGAATCGCTGCCAAAAACATGTTGGACATTAATGCAATGCAAAAGTCAACTTTGAATAATTAAGCGCGCAATTAAGAGAAAAACAGCTTCATATTTCAGCAAACTTTTCTATAGACGCACGCTGGCTGTGCAAGGGACGGCGAGAGCTGCCAACTTGCTCAAAGACTGATGGATGTGGAAATTAAGTGAATACAAAAAAAAAAAAAGTATTGTAAAAACAAGTGTCAAGCGAGAATTTTTTAAAGTTATTTTACAGTTCATAATTATGTAATTTTAGATAATTTTATCAATGTAATTATATATGTACATTAGATTGCATCACCAAAAAAAGTTGCGGTTTTTCCGCCATTGAGTTTTTTATGAATATAAATAGTTTCTTAAATAACTGTTTAAAAGAAAGCCCCCTCAGATGACAAAAGAGATTAAGCTTAAAAAATCTGCATAAAAAAATTTCAAAATCTTTTCAACGGAATCGTAAGAATGAAAGTTTTGATGCTGTTTTTTTTTTTGCTTTTTTCAAAGATTGATTTACGAAAAACTCGAATAACTGAGCCAAAACTATTCTGATTTAGCCTTATGGAATCTCAGTAAAAAGGTATTTTCACACTGTTTTTATTTCTGTAAAAAAAAAATTCATTCGGGTCCCATTTTTTTATTTTTTTTTTTTGAAATATGAATTACGTTCGTTCATCCTACCTTTCTCTTTCATCCTTTGAATGAGTTTATTAGCAAAGGAATAAAAAGGATGAGAAAATACCTTTCCAATGACACCTCTTAAGTCTAAATCGGAAGAGTTTAGATTCAGTTCTCCAAGTTTTTCTTATACCAATTTTTGAAACAAGTTAAAAAACAGCATCAAAAATCTCATACTTACGATTCCGTTCATTTTTTTTTTATTTTTTTTTTTTTAATATTTTTCTGCAGTATTTTTAAGCTTAAACCGTTTTTTCAATTGGGGGGATTTTTTCAAAAAAAAATAAAAAATCTTTAAGAAACTATTTTTATTCAAAAAAAAAAACTCCATTTTTTGAGTTATTTTCCAATCGGTCCTGCTCACTTAAATCTTAATATTTTGCCGAAATATTTTGGTGGACGTCTTAAAATATAATAGATTTCATAATTCCAATGGAAAAATAGTACCGATTTTTTTTTTTTTGTATGGGGAGTGATAGTGATGCAGTCTAATGTACATACATATGCTTATACCTGAGTGCAACTCAAATGCAAATGTAATTATTATGATATTGAATAGCTCATGGGGTTGTGAAAATACATGACTTACTTACTTAGTAGTATGTATGTAATACGAATACGTAACAAAGCAATATTGATTACACTATTTGAAAATTAAAACAACCGAAAAATGTTCGTTTCATTTAGTTTCCTGGGGTGAGTTAACTCTAAAATTGCCTAAAAATATGTGCCATCATAACTATAAACAAAATAAAGTCAGCGTCAAAAGTATGAATACTCCGACGTTTTGATGATTTTATTTATTTGATTTCAGACGGGCGAAACTTAAACGTAAAGCTTCTAAACTAGTGCACATTTTGCGAATTATTTTGCTGTGATCCTCTTCTTCGATGCCCCATCGAGCGCATGTATATTAATAAACAACATTTAAACCCTATGCTTACTCAGCGCGTGTAGAAAATGCAATAAACTCCAAACATTTTGCCAGCTTGCTTTTGGGTATTTGTTGTGACTCGCTGTGACTGTGATTGGCTAACTTTTCAATGGTTATGGCATAATTATGAACATTTGTGCCACAAAGTAGTAAATTAAAACAATATTACCAAATACGGAGATATGTTTATACATTCCCGTACATAGAATGTGAAATGTATGCACACTTACATATGTATAAGTAGGTGTATGAACAAAAACTGTACCAAGTGTGTTAAAGGGTTTTAGGCAGCGAACGTGGAACTATGTAATCGTAAGACGAAAAAGTGTGGGTAAACTTTTTTATGACTTTAAAATTTTGCATACACGCATAATGGCGAAGCATCAAAAATTTATAATAACTAGGTATGTATGTAAGTATACATAAAAGACGACATTGAAAATTTTAGTAGAGGCAAATGTGCGTAAAAGAGTTTATTTGTATGAATAAATAAATATGTGCCTATTTCTTTAAGTAAAGATACATTTTACAACCAACCAAAGATGCGCGATGCGAGTAAATAACTCTTTAATATGGAAATATAAATTTCTATGTAAATAACTTCAAGGATCTGATGAAGCCAATACTTTCAGCGGCGCCGCTAAATAACTTTAATAATAATTTGATATCTGTTTTGAATATTACTTGACTTAGGATTATGTTAGATCCCGCGTGAAGAGTTTAATATTGGTAATGGTAATGCTATTGAAAACGATAATGATAATGATAATTATGATGATAATGATAATGGTAACGGTAATGAAAATGATATTTATGATTATTATAATGATAGTGATAATGATAATATGTAATTATTTTTTTTTTTTTTTTTGGGCGGTGAGGAAAGGGTGTGAAGCCGCTTCTAACTATTGGCTCGTCTTCTCTTTTCCTAATTGCGCGAACCGCTTTCTACCTTAGCGGTCATCGTAAATTGTGATCGTTTTGGGCACCTCTGCTTTTAATCTCCTCATTGTCCACACCAATTTTCTTGCGCCGCAGTATGATCTCGGTATGAAAGTCGTGACCGCGTCCCATGATTTTTGATCAGTCAGCATTTTGGAAACGATTTTTTCGGGTGCAACGGGGCCGACTTTTCTCTCGAATCGCCGCTTGTTGTGGACTCACAGCGCTCGAAGAAAAAGAGTGCGATGTTTTCAACATCTACATGTAAGGAGTAAACGCAGTGTGGGCGCGTCACTTTCCCCATTTTGTGCAGGTACACTCTAAAGTATCCGTGACCGGTCAAGAATCGAGTAAGGAAATAACCCACCTCTCCGGGTGAGCGGCCTAGCCAGCAGTGCAGATGCGGAATTAGTTTCATTTGCTCAGCAATCTGCTTTTGGTTTTCTTTTCGGCCTGCCTTTTCCCAGTTCTTTCGCCTGCAATATCTTCTGCCTCTCTTTAGCTAAAAGGTCGATCGGCGCTATGTACTCGAATGAAAGTGGTAATGGTAATGATAATGATAATTTTTGTTTCTGCCTATTGCATCATCAAAGCTGTCGTCACAACACTGGTATGTTCCGAGACTACAAAAATAGTGAAGTTATTCTTTTCATCGACTATATATCTTCCTAAAACAACTGCAATGAACGGAGACTATAAAGCCATATTGTTGACAAAAGTGCGTCAAGTGGTTGTCGAGAAACGCGGAGGCCAAAGGAGTCCAGTTTTCGAAAGACAATGCACACTGCGCGACCTGCAACATGTGTCTGGGCCGAGCCTAGATTAAAAAAAAAAAACAACCACAACAACAATTTGAATAAAAACCTCCGAAGACAAAGATTTTTGAGTGAAGAATAAATGAGGGTGGCATTTCGAAGACATAGACGGCGAATAGTTTTTCACTGGGTTCAAAGCCCTTTATGATAAATGTAAGAAGTGCCTTGAAGAGCGAGATTATATAGAAAAGTAAAGTTGTTATACATTTCTATCAGCTATTTTAATACCTTCGGCTCAAAACTTTTCAGCCTCCCCTCGTACGTACATATGTACACGAAAGTGAGCTGCATGCATTTTAAGTTTTCATGAATATGAAAAAAGATATTAGAAATGTAAAAAATTGGTAAGCAGGCGTACAAAATTTTGCGATTGTTAACCCGGAACTTCGCCAACCCCACCCACCCTACACTCACAGCAAACAGGCAAAATAATAAGCCACCAACAAGCCTAATAATACATCATAAAGCTTTGTTTTTTTTTTTAGAATTTTTTTTCAGGTGAGAAAATGGGAGATGCGAAACTGATTAGTATACATATTTGCGGGAGCAGAAACAATCTTCGAGTAGCAACCAAATATGAAAATGCTTATTATTGCGATTATCAGTGCGAGGCTCATATGAATTTGGTATATACATATGTACATACAAGTATTGGGCGTATGCATGTTTGTAGATATGTATGTAAGTATAAAACTCTTGTCTACGTGACGTGTTTTGTCGCCGGCGGAAACGCTTGTATTTTATTACAAGCATAAGTATGTACATAAATTAGGGTGGCTCAAAAATCTATACGGGGGATAACAAAGTTTAAAATGTTAAGCTTTCAGCCCCTGGGATTTTTCTAAATGGAAAATTACCCATATTTTTTGTTTGAAAAAATTATAATTGGCTTTCAGGTAGTTAGCTCATGAAGTTTTCCATGTATTTTTTATGGGGAAAAAACACATTTTCGTAGAAATGGTATGAAAATCTTGAAAATCAATATTTTTCGATTGAGAAACTACTCTCTTTGGGAGACTTCCAGCAATAATACCCAATTTTTTATGTAAGCATTTTTTTATACTTATCAACTATTTTTTATAGTTCCCCCAAAACCTCCAAGAAATGCAATGGGAGTAAATAGTATTAAAATAGTATAAAAATAGTATTAAAAAATAAACAACAATAATACGATTGGAAGTTTCATGAAGAGAAACAGAGTTTTCCGATCGAAAAATATAGATTTTCCAGATTTCTATACCATTTATAGAAAAAGTTGTTTTTCCCTATACACAGGCGGTGTTTTGTTTTTAATATTTACAATGTTTTTCAAGCAATATTTTTTTATAAAAAATATGGCGCATGCTTTAACGAAAACTATATATGTCACACTTTCAAACTTTATACCGAATTAATACAGAATTTTTATAAAATTTTTGGGTATTTAGTTAACAGGCTTATAAAATTTTAGTGAAATAATTACAAGTTTTGAGCAGCTGAAAATCGCATTGACTTTTAATATTTTTTTTGCTCACGGCTTTTTTTTTAATATAAATAGGGAAATTTACAAAATCTGTTGCTGACTTTTTTATTTTTTGTTTGAAAGCGATCTTGCGAATATTCTCCCACAAGAAATGCATGCTTATATGGAAAAAAAAAATTCAAAATGTCGTCACAAAAAAAAAATAAAAATTATATTAAAAATCAATGCGATTTTTTAGCCGCTTCAAACTTGCACATATTTTACTAAATGTTTAGAAGCCTGTTAACTGCATACCTAAAAATTTTATAAAAAATCTGGTTAAAAAGTTCGAAGTTGAGATACAAATTTGTGGAATTTTTCAAAATTCTGTATAAAGTTTGAAAGTGTGATTTATATGGTTTT